AAAAAAAAAAAAAAACAAAAAACAGTCAGATGGTGTTTTTAAGAAGTTAATATTGGTAAGTCATACATATTGAAAGAAAAAAAAAGAAAATAGCAGGAGGACCCATAGAATATGCTTGGAACCAGAAGTGTTTCAAATTTCCATTTGGGGTGATTTTAAAGTATTTACAAATTTAAAGTATTTGCAAATAAATACTTGGAAGTGAGCATCCTGAATCCAAGATGCAAAATGCTCCAATGAGTGTTTTTGTGTGTCATGTCTATGTTCTAAAGGTTCAATTGTGGAGGATTAGGGGATTCTCTTGCCTCAGCCTCCCAAGTAGCTGGGACTGCAGGTGCCCACCACAACGCCCGGCTATTTTTGTGTTGCAGTTTGGCCAGGGCCGGGTTTGAACCCGCCACCCGTAGTATATGGGGCTGGCGCCCTACCCACTGAGCCATAGGCACCGCCCAGTATTTTGAATTTTTGGATTTGAGATTCTCAAACTATATATCAAACTACGGGCACAATGTAGCAAAAGAATTTTTAAAATAAACACAAAATGCCATCAGGGTAGAAGTTAGGTGGGGGAGTAAGATGACGCACATGGGCTTCAATTATATTTACAATGTTTTATTTCTTAGGTATTAATTCTCTGTTCTTTAAATTCTGAAATATTTTACAAAAAGATTGTGCAGCTTCTTACCTTGTGATGGCAAATAATTTTTCTTGTATTTTTCTACCTGAGTTCCTGAAGAAATGAGATTCTTTTGAAATCGAACAGAAGGGTTCTATGTATGGGAGATAATTTTGAATATAAAGTAAGTTAGTCCACATATTAGTACTGAGTGAAACTAATAGAATTCAGCTAATGATGAGAATGCTGTAGGCTTGTTCATTTGTGTTGTTTTCATTAATCATAATAGGCTACTGTGAATAAGCTGTTATCTAGGAACGAATTACATACACAGAAACAGATTGTTTCTGATATATATTCATTCTTCAAGTTACAAAACAGTCAAGGTATCTTAAAATATCCTGAATATTAAAGACCAGCAGATGAGAGCAGCACAAGACCACAGCTCAAGGTGCTTGGGGTGGGGAGAACATTAAGGCTCATAGCTCCTCCCAAGCACTCCCCTCATGTTCTAATTAGACAGAGTCCTAGCTGAGCCCAGTTCTCCCAAGAATGAGCTGGGTGAGGCCTCCCTGCCATGCCCCCTTCCTGCCCCAGCTGTGACATAGTCCCCTGTACCTGTCTCACTTCACACCTCCTGTAATCTGTACTCCTCCTGCCTCAGCTACACACTCCATGGGCCAACCCCAGAATCTGCCATCATCAATACTATTGCTGGCTGCAATGATCAATAACTCAATAACTACAAAAATCTCAATTTCAAAGCATTCCACTTAAAATATCCAGAATGTATTCTATAGTCTGCTGTCTTCAAAAAGTCAATGTCGTTTAATAAAATGCTGAAGCATTTAGGGATAAGATGTCATGACTTTTGCCAGTTATTTCAAATGGTTCAGCAAAACATATGAAAATATGGCAAAATGTTCACAGTAGCTAACTCCAGGTCAGTGTTTAAATGTTCTCTATTTTGTGAAAGTTTGTAGTAAAAAGTCCAGGGGATGGAGAAAGCCATTTTCTGATGACCACAGCCTATCTATGCAGCTCATCCTTGAACACCCCGACCCAGCTGCGCTGGCAGCTGACTCACACACATCGGCACATCCTCAAACCCTGTGACCAATGCCCCCCTGGTGCAGCTCACAGCCATGTTTGCCACAGTCACTACTGTCGCACACATTTCCAACTTCCCTGGTCCTCACTCAATTGGTGGCATTCACCCTGCACTCCTGAACAAGAAAAAAACAGAATAATTCTCACTTTGAATGTTAGTCAATAACTAGGCAGGGCCCCATGGTGGCCAGAAATCAGGCTTCCTTCCCTAAGCCTCTGCTTTCAGCTCTCAGATGCCCACCTCAGGCTTTTTCTACCTCCTGTACTGCTAAGGGACAAGCTCCCACCTCCTGCCAGCTGCCTATGGGGGAGCTTGGTCTGTCCTGGTGTCCATGGTACCCTTAGTCTAGGGTACCATGTCAGCCATTCTCCCACTTCCCCTGAATCAAGTGTTTTCCTCTCCTATCTCACAATACACAAACACCCATTAATTTTACCATCTTAAAAGCACCAAAAAAATACGGCCCCTACCTCATTTTCTACGTCACTTTACAAGTATGCCACGAAGCTGCCCCATGCTGTCCCTAGCTGGTCTTCCACCACCAGGCTTTCCTCTCACACTCACACTCCTAGGGAAGGGATCTCACAGAGGCCCAGTCCAGGAGGTAAACCCCTTAATCCCGAACTTTCGAGCAGCCCCTGGTACCAGCAACCACCCTCCTTCTAAGGTCCCTTCCTCATTTGTCCACGGCACTGTGCCAGCCTCCTCTCTTCCTGCCCTCTGCTGTCCCAAGTATCTGTCCTTAACAGGAACTTCTCTGGCCATGCCTGGCTGCCTGGTCAGGACATCCTGGGATGTCCAGTAAGCAGTTCAGTCTTCCCTCGCTCAAGCCTGTGGTCACTCATGGTGAGTGGAAAGCCTACCAGGCCCAAACACAAACCTATACCACAGCACAGGCAGAGACCATTCCTGACTCTTTCCCTGCTGTCACCTCAACCAGCTCAGAAACCAACCCAGTCTGCTTCTCTACCTGCCACAGCCACCTCATCAGGCCACTGTCATCTGAATCCCCACAACAATCCCTGCCTATGTGCCTGGTTTTGCTCATGCTGCCTAGAACCCACTCCAAGCCCACAGCCAGGGTACCAACTACAATAGGGTGCCCTCACCCAGCACCCTCCAGAGGCTCCCAGGTCACTCCAGAACTGCCTCAGTGGCCCCTGGACTCCCTCAGGACACTGACCAGCTGTGCATGCACCTTGTTGTCCATCCCAAAGCCCCCCCACTGCTCTGCCCTCTGCAGGCCATTCCTCATACATGCCCTTCCCCTCACCATACCCCAAACCACCTGCTATTCCTCTGCTCTCACCATCATCATCTCACAGGCCACACATTTATCTGTCATGTTTACAGTCTTTCTCCCACTATTAGAATATAAGCTCCAAGAGGGCAAGGAATTTTGTCTTGTTATATTCACTGCTGTACCCTTATGACCTAATGTAGTACCTGGCATGTTGTAGTCATTCACACAGATGAATGAATAGCCAATTGCTTGATTGTTGTTTGTGACTCCACAAAAATGCCCCCTAATCTGTTTTGTTTTGTTTTGTTTTTTTTTTTTGAGAGAGCCTCAAGCTGTCTCCCTGGGTAGAGTGCCGTAGCATTACAGCTCACAGCAACCTCCAACTCCTGGGCTCAAGCGAGTCTCCTGCCTCCGCCTCCCAAGTAGCTGGGACCACAGGCGCCCGCCACAACGCCTGGCTATTTTTTGGTTGCAGCCGTCATTGTTGTTTGGCGGGTCCAGGCTGGGGATTCGAACCCGCCACCTTAGGTGTACGTGGCTGGCGCCTTAGCCAGTTGAGCTATAGGCGCCGAGCCCCCTAATCTGTTTTTAACTGAGATTATCTGCCTATTGTATTATGCCTCCATTGTAAGAACTGAACATACGTATATAGAGCAATGTTTGAAAAAAAAATTTAAATTGTGGTAAAATATTTATTACATAGAATTCACCACATTCACCACCTTCCTTCACTTTCTTTTTTTTTTTTGAAACGGAGTCTCACTATGTCGCCCTCAGTAGAGTGCATGGCATCACAGCTCAGAGCAACTTTAAACTCTTGGGCTTAAGCGATTCTCTTGCCTCGGCCTTCCAAGTAGCTGGGACTATAGGCACCTGCCAGAACGCCCGGCTATTTTTTTGGTTGCCGTTGTCATTGTTGTTTAGCAGGCCAGGCTGGGCTCGAACTTGCCCACCTTGGTGTATGTGGCTGGTGCCCTACTCACTGAGCTATAGGCACTGAGCCATCATTGTTTTTGAGATAGAGTCTCACTCTTATTGCCCCAGGTTAGAATCTCCTGGCATCATCATAACTCACACCAAGCTCAAACTCCTGGACTCGAGCAATCCTCCTGCCTAAACCTCCTGAGTAGTTACAACTACCGGCACCCAGCACCATGCTCGGCTACATCTCCACTATTTCTAAGTGCACAGTTCATGGCACTGAAGACCTCCTCATTGCTGTATGGTCATCACCACTCCCCAGCTCCAGAAACTTTTCCTCTTGCAAAACTGAAACTGGGCCCCAATCTCCTGCCTCAGCCTCCAGGTCTCCCACCCTACTCTGTCTCTATGAATATGAAAGCTTGAATATGTCTAATACCCACTAACCTGACCAGACCACCTGGTCCCAAACCTACCATAGACTCGCCTTTCTTCCCAGCAGTCCCGCGAGGATCCACCTTGAGGCTACTCTCTATGGCTTCTGCTTTCTTCCAGGCATCCAGTCGGAACCTTTCCATCACTTTCATTTCTTCCCGAAGGTCTGTGTTCTCTCGGACTAACATTTCTATCTGGCTCCTGAGACGGCCATGGGTACTTGACCATTTTGCTTCCTTTCTTTTTAAATCTTCCCGTAAGTCTGCTATTTGCTGTTTTAAAGCCTCTCCAAAAAAAAAAAAAAAAAGGACATTAATAGGAAAGGCTTCACAAGAAACAATTCCAGGACACCAGGTTCTTCAGGCCAGGGGAGCAAGGAGCAGGTTAGAGCCTCACCTCATGCCAGCAACAAAATTAATCCCAGAAGGCAGGACAAAGAGGTGATGACCCCCTACAGAAGCTGACTGCAATAGCACTGCCATGAGGTAATAAAGAACTAACTAACCTAAGATATTAACTGAAAAAGATGGGAGGAGATAAATGAGAGATCTGATAAAGGAATGAATGAACTGAAGGATAAGTTAAGATAAAGAGAAGAATAAAACATTCCAAAGTTAATACTACATGCCCTAAAACTGACTGTCTCTGAGATTTGTAAGAAGAAACAGGTTTTAAGAAAATGAGTTGGGCTCAGCTCCTGTAGCACAGTGTGGTTACGGCACTAGCCACATGCACCAGGGCTGGCAGGTTTGAACCTGGCCCGGGCCAGTCAGACAGCAATGACAACTACAATAACAAGAAAAAATAGCTGGGCGTTGTGGGGGGCACCTGTAGTCCCAGCTATTTGGGAGGCTAAGAAAATCACTTAAGCCCAAGAGTTTGAGGTTGCTGTGAGCTGTGACACCACAGCACTTTACTGAGAGTGACATAGTGAGACTCTGTCTCACAAAAATAAATAAAATAAATAAATAAATAAAAGAAATGAGTTCTGGCTGGTACAATGGTTCACACCTATAATCCTAATACTCTGAGAGGCCAAGGCAGGTGGATCGCCTACACTCAGGAGTTTGAGACCAGCCTGAGCAAGAGTGAGACATTATCTTTACTAAAAATAAAAAAATTACCAAGACATGGTGGCACGTGGCACATGCCTGTAGTCCCAGATACTGGGGAGGGTGAGGCAAGAGGACTACTCAAGCCCAAGTGTTTGAGGTTGCTGTGAGCTCTGACTCAATAAAAAAGAAAATGAGTTGTTTTAGATGGACTAAATATGTGAAGAAACTGTTGGAAGTATCTGGAAGCAACGTGAGATCATGTGTAGGTGCAAGTGATAAGGATTGACCAAAAGCTGAGGAAAGGAGCACAGACAGGTACCAGGAAGCCCTGAAATCCAGTACCTAGAACCCACTCAGTGGGAGATCCTGGGCAGTGGAGGTGGCCCTGACCCCATGCCTGCCCCAGGCCACCTCACAGCCTAAGCTTAAAATAGGTCAAGAACCTCTCCGAACATCAGCTTCTCCATTTACATAATTGTGGATTATAACCAATAAATGAGAAATTTCTAGTAAGCATTTTTATTATGAAAATACTACAATTGTAACATACAAGTCTAAATGGGTTAAGAATTCAACAGCAGGGGCAGCGCCTGTGGCTCAAGCAGCTGTGGCGCCAGCCACGTACACCTGAGCTGGCGGGTTCGAATCCAGCCCAGGCTCACCAAACAATGACAGCTGCAACCAAAAAATAGCCAGGCGTTGTGGCAGGCATCCTAGCTACTTGGGAGGTGGAGGCAGGAGACTTGCTTGAGCCCAGGAGTTGGAGATTGCTGTGAGCTGTGATCTCATGGCACTCTACCCAGAGTGACAGCTT